TAAAGGCAGTATGATAAAGGAAATTGAGTTAGTAATAAAAAACTTTCCAACAAAGAAAAGCCCAGGATAAGACGGCTTCGCCAGTGAATTCTACCAAACATTTGAAGAAGAATTAACATCAATCCTTCTCAAACTCTTTCAAAAAATAGAAGAAGGAACACTTCTAAACACTTTCTATGAGGCCAGCATCATCCTGTTATCAAAGCCAGACTGAGATACCACAAGAAAAGGAAACTATACCAGATGAACATGGATGCAAAAATCCTCAATGAAATATCAGCAAACCAAATTCAACAGTACATTAAAAGGATCATACACAGTGACCAAGTGGGATTTATTCCTGAGATGCAAGGATATTTCAACATATGTAAATAAATTAATGTGATACACCACAGAATGAAGAATAACAATCACGTTATCATATCAATAGTTGCAGTAAAAGCATTTGATGAAATTCAACACTCTTTCATGATAAAAAATTCTCATAAATTACGTATAGAAGCAACTTAACACAATAAAGGCCGTATATGAAAAGCCCTCTGCTAACATCATACTCAGTGGTGAAAACTGAAGCTTTTCTTCTAAGATCTCTAACAAGGCAAGGGTGCTTACTCTTTCTATTTCTATTGAAACATTGTACTGGAAGTCCTTACCAGAGCAATTAGGCAAGAAAAGGAATTAAAAGACATCTAAACTAGAAAAGAAGAAACAAAATCAGATGACATGGTTTTATATATAAATAAAACCTTTAAAGACTTCACCAAAAAACTGTTAGAGCTAATAAATGAATTCAGTGAAGTTGTAGAATACAGAATCAACATACAATAATCATTTGAATTTCCATATACAAACAACAATTTATCCAAAAAAAATTAAGAAAACAATCGAATTTGTAATAGCATAAAAAAATAAGTATTTAAGAATAAACTTAACCAATAAACTTGTATGCTGAAAACTATAAAACACCTTTGAAAGGAATTAAAGCAGATATATTTAAATGGAATGACATTCCATCTTCATGGATTAGAAGAATTAATATTGTTAAAATGTCTACACTACTCAAAACGATCTACAGATTCAATGCAATCCCTATGGAAATCTCAATTGAATTTTTCACCGAAATAGGAAAAACAATTCTAAAATTCATACGGAGCCATAAAAGATCCCAAGGAGCCAAAGCAACTTTCAGTAGGAAAAATAAAGCTAGAGGCATCACATGTCTTTATTTCAAAATATCTTACAAAGCTATGATAATCAAAGCAATATGATACTGGCATAAAAACAGATGTATAGACCAATGGAACAGAATAGACAGCCCTGAAATTAACCCATGCAAATATGCTTAATTAATTTATGACAAAGGAGGGGAGAATATACAAGGGGGAAAAGATAATATCTCTTTGGTAAATGGTGTTGAGAACAGTGGATATTCACATGCAAAAGAATGAAATTGAACCCTTATTGCACACCATACATAAAAATCAACTCAAAATGGATTAAAGGCTTAATTGTAAGACTTGAAATCATGGAACTTCCAGAAGAGACATAGATAAAAATCTTGAAATTGTTCTTGGCAATGATTTTCTGGATATGACACCAAAGCACAGGCAACAAAAGCAAAAATAAACAAGCGGGACTGCATCAAACTAAAAGTTCTGCACAGCAAAGGAAACAATCAAAAAAATGAAAAGACAACCTACTGAATGGGAGAAAATACTTGAAAGCCATATATCTGATAAAGGGTTAATATCCAAAATATGTAAGGAACACATACAACTGGATAGCAAAAAAAAAATGACCGAATTAGAAAATGGGCAAAGGAACTGGATATATGTTTATTCAAAGAAATACAAACAGCTAACAGATATATTAAAAAGATGGCCACCATCACTAATCATCAGAGAAATGCAAATCAAAACCACACTGAGATATTATCTCACACCTGTTAGAATAGTTTTTTATAAAATAAAAGATAAATATCTCACAAAGAGGATGTGGAGAAAATGGAACTCGTACACTGTTGGTCAGAAAGTAAATTAGTTCAGCTACTATGGAACATAGTATAGAGGTTCCTCAAAAAACTAAAAATAGAACTACCATATGATCCAGCAATCCCACTTTTGGGTGTATATCCAAATGAATTTAAATGAGGATCTTGAAGAGATATCAGCAGTCTCATATTCATTACGGTATTATTTGTGACAGCCAAGATACAGAAACAACCTAAATATCTGCCAATGGATAAAAGAATAAGGAAAATATGGTATATGTAAATACAATGGAATATTATTCAGCCTTAGAAAAAGAAGGAAATCCTGTCATTTTCTACAGCTTGGAGGACATGCTAAGTGAAATAAGCCAGACACAGAAGGACAAGTTTGACATGATACCACTTATATGAGCAATCTAAAATAGTCAAACTCTTAGAAGTAGAGAGTGAAATGGTGGTTGCCAAGGGGTGACGGGAGGGGAAAATAGAGAAGTATTAGTCAAAGGATGCAAAGTTTCAGTTATACAAGATAAATAAGTCCTAGGGATCCACTACACACCATAGTGCCTATAGTTAACAGGACTATACGATATACTAAAAAATTTGCTATGAGGATAAATCTTATGTTAAGTGTTCTTATGACAAATAATAATAATAGTAAAATAAGAAGGCAGGACGAAAGCTTGGGAGATAATGGATAGGTTTATAACATAGATTGTGGTGATGATTTCGCAGATATACACATCTCCAAATTTATCAAGTTGTATACATTAATTATTTACAGCTTTTTGTATGTCAAAAAAAAGATAGTATACTAGCATGGACGTAGCATAAAATTTTGAGTCAAATAGAACCAGGTTCAGATCTTTCTAGTTGTATGATCATAGACAAATTATTAGCTTTATGAAGCCTCTATTTTTCTTTTGCTAGAAAGAAAAAATATTATTTTGTTCATGATAGTTATATTAGAATTAGATGGTTATACATATATATTGAATTATTGCGGAAGCTAGCACAAATTAATGTGAATGTCTCTTCTTTCTATCTGCTTTGAGTAAGGGTTAATGTAGGTCACTGGAGTATTGCTTCCCTCTGTGGCCATATAGAGATGGGTAAGTCAAAGAGGGCACAGCCAGGTCTCCTATTTTCTCTGGAGGAAGCCTAACTTCAAGCTAAGCTGTGACAAGCTCTCAGGTCACCTTTTCTTAAGCTGGTTAATATCTTAGAAAGCATTGGGTATCTTCCTCAACCATGGTTAAGCAGGGGTATGGGAGATGTAGCTATGATAGATGCAACTGGTGGGTAGATAACTACCAGTATGGGTACCTGAGTTATGTATAAATCATACAAAAGATCATAAGAACAGAAAATTTCCACACCCAATCTTGCATATGGCGCTTGTTGAGTAGCTTGTCTCTCTCTTTAGACCATGAAAGTCAGTTCATCCTTATCTATCAGAAATCAAAACTTTAACATGAAGGCCCCTTTTTTGGAAAAAAAAATTTCTACTCTATGAGGATACCAGCATGGTGTGCTGTTGTTCTGGCTCTCACTGGATTCATTGACTGGACTATGACATGCAATTGAATTTGTCTCTGGAATTTCACTCACATAAAAGAGTTTGGATCTCTATTGGTTAGGAGTTATAATTTGATGATTACAAAAAAAAACTCTATAAAATCTATAAAAATCAGTTCTTGTGGTCTTTTCCAGTGCTTCCGTTCAAAAAGGACATTGCCTCCACACATTGTGTGATCTGATTAAATTACCTGGTAATATAGCTATTACCTTTTCATTTGCAGACTGGGAGAGTCAGAAGGTCTATCAATGGCGTCTGCCTTAGATATGGTCAGAGATAGACAAGCATTTATTTACTGAATTTTCCAACTTGGAGTGCTTCACAAAAAGATGGAAAGATATAAGTGGAAGAAGATGGGGATAGAATGCAAAATTGGTTCTATATTACCTAAGGAAGGACAAGGTGAGGAGAGAAGATAGAAAACTATTAGGGATGATTCTGGGTCAAGAGATGACAGGGAATGTTTTGGGATGCTCACCAGTGACTTTTTTTTTATTTCACTTCTGTCTCTCTCTCCTTCTACCCTCCTCCTTTTTTTCCGCAACTATTTATTGAGCATCTATTTTGAGTTAGGGGATTGATATGTAATAACAATCAAATAAAGGAACTTGCTTTAATTAAGAAGAACTCCGTGATTGGGATAATGTATCTTTATATTCAAAGATACTAACGTTTTTTCTGTTTTTTTCATTACTTGTCCTTACCCCCAGATATCATTATTTTATTTCACAAGCCCATAATTCCAAATATTAACTGGCATTATCTGTTTCTGAAAACTTTCATAGCCAGCTTCCATATTACTCATTTACTTTCAGTTCTCTGGATGAAATATTTTTTCTGATATTCACCTCCTAGAAAACAGACTAACTCCCTCACTCTCAAAGATGTTCTTTTAGGTCCACCCATCCCAAGCAATTCCTACATGTAGCATTAACATCAACACAGAAAACACCAATAGAACTCATTTAGCTAAAGATGTATTTAATTTAACAAATAAAATATTTTTACCTTCTACTAAAAAGAAGAAAACTAACACATCCTCTATTTAAAATAGATGAACCGCTCTTCTATGGTTAAAACTGAGCACTCATTTTAAATCATATCGCTTTACCGTCTATAGTACTTGGGAGCAGAAAGGAAATAGCGATTCTGATATTGGAGACAATATATAGAAAAAAGTTAAGGATAAAAATCTAAGGAGGAAAATTGGTGTATTTGTATTTACTCATTTTTTTTTTTCCAGAAATACAATGTGGAGTTCCCTCTGAGCTTTGGAAGTAGTTTGGAGATAAAAGGGAGCTTTAATCATTCGTATTGCACCCTCTGGAGAGGTCATTTCTCTTATGTGACTGCACAATAAATGAAGGTGCATATTCTGGACATCTGTTGCCAGCTTGACTTTTTTTTCTTCCTTAGCTTAGGTGTCTAGACAGCATTAGCTTCTGTGGATTAAAATGGAATTTTTCACTTCTGTAATATAGAGATATTTTCTCTTGTGACTCTGACCTCAGATCTTTCCTTTATTGTTCCAAGCCACAGCCATAGATTTAGTCCTAAGGAGGCCTCCCTTTCCTGGCATTAGTAGCTATGGGATAGATGACAGCGTGCTGTGACTTTTTAATGCCAACAGCCACTATCTTCTCTGTGCTATTGTACATTTTTCTTTTAAGAAGTAGTGCAGCTCTGAAGACTCCTGGAGATCTTGGCAAGCTTTTCCATCAACTGCATCAACCAACAAGCGTTGCTACGTCAAGGAAGAAAGGTATGCAGATACAGGTGAGTTTCCTTATAAGCTGTTGCAAAATATATAGAGAGAATTTTCTTGATTCAGTTAAGACGTCTGAGGCATCTGTGTATTTCAATATGAGATTCCTTGCTCTTCTGATACACGGTTCTTCCACTGGTGGGAGGACAATCTTAGAATCTAAAATACTCCCTCTATGCATAGTCTGCTTTGCTTATCTGCCTTTTTGGAGTCTAATTTTCACCATTCACTGTCCTTGAGCAAGCCCCAGAAACTGAGAGGCTCAGATTCTTGTTCGGAATAGGATAATAATAATATTTGTTTCATATGAAATCAAGATGATCATATTTTATGTGAAAATTATAATGAGCTTTAACACAATGTAACTTTTTATTAACTCTATCAGATGTGCTCAAACTTTAAATTTTCTCTGCTGATGATAGTTCCTCTAGATAGGGCTCAACTTAGCTATTATATTTGGTTAGTAATTTCTAGATTTTTTGCTGAAATTTGTTCCTCTTTTCTTCAAAAATTGGAGACACCTCTATTTACAACTTTGTCATTCATTTTTAAAAGTGATAACCTGTGGAACAAAGGCTACAGTGGATAATGAGAGAATAACTAAAGATTTTTAAAAATCCCCTGAAGGCTCAAAAGATTAGAATCATTATGAATCCAATATTCCTTTCCTTGTTCGCAGAGGCGGGGAACAGACAACAAGAACAACAATGATGACATCAGTGACAACAAAAACAGGATGACATTATCTTTCAGGCATTGCAGACCCATCTGAGTAAGCTATATGCCACTTTCTTGGGAAGTTCAATCATTTGTGAACACTCTACATCAAGTGAAAAAAATTTTCACTTGTTTCCAGAAAAACTGTCAAGTTGCCTAGAAAGAGGGGGGAAATGGTAAGTCTTTTAGGATAAAAAATCAAGTATAGCATGTACCTAAAAATAGCAACACAGTGGAGAGGTGGAAAGAAGGACGGAAAAGAAAACAAACACGCTACTTCCAAAACTTGGAAGAAATTCTTGTCTCTTTCTTCACCATGTGCTGGCAATCTTTACTTTTCCTTCACCACGTTTGACACATAATTATCTAGTCACTTATAATTAATTGGAGTAATTTGTTCTTTGTCCCCACCAAAGGGCAAACTTCATGAGAGTATGGATTGTGTTTGCTTACACACTGTACCATCTCTTTGTCACAGTGTGAAATGCACAGTTGGAGGATATCCAGTAAATATTTGTTGACTAAATTTCTGCCTGACTGATATGGTTGTTTGGGAGATCAAAAGAGACATGTATAGGAAAGTCCTTTGTAAACAGTAAATTAGTGATAGCTTGATAACTTTATTTGTACTGTGTATGTGGGTAGCAACAAATGAAAAAATAAACTGAGGCTAATGCCTTAAAGAAATGTGAACATTACATGCTAAACCTTGGTTTAAACATGAGAAGATATATTCAAAGATTTGGAAGTGTATTATGATTTCAAGTTTAACAGCACTTTTTTCTTTAAGACAACAAATTCAAAGTGCATATTGCCCAGTGATGTTATTTTAATTATCTGCATGTTTTTGCCTCATTCCTCCATAGGTAAAGCTGTTTTTCTGCTTTTACTTAGTCTTGACGCACTTGGCTAAAGATGAACAAAAACCTTACTGTGTACCTACAGAGATCAGGATTACTTTTAACGGATTGCTCTTTTTGAAATGGGAAATAAAGAGACATGAAGCAAAATCCAAAAAGAAGCAATTTAGGGCAAAGTTAGGATTGCTTTATTTCCCTAATTCAGATACCTAAAGTAGGTAGTCCTCAGAGAAGTAAAACAAGTTGACTATCACGTAGTATGTCTTATGCCTACAATATCGGTCCAGAAATATTAACAGTATAGGCTTTTCACAGTGGTTGAGGCTCATACGCCATTTGCTTATTGTATCAAAACCGTAATCCAAACACTTGGAGACTTATTATGAAAGAGAAAATATGAACTCTATTCTTTCATTTTTATCTCAACTTTTAAAAAATATTAAAATATTTTTTGCAATTTTTCTCTCAGACCAAATCAGGAGGTATTAGACATCATGTAGAATAGACACTCACCTTATCTGGGAATCCGGGTGAAATTTTATATCTTTGGGTTGCCAAACAAACCAGCTTTGATATTTGTCCTTTGGAGCAAAGAAGCCTACTTCAAAGTCTGTTTCTAGGCTTATGTTCCATGATGTTCATTCTTGCCAGTGAGTTGTACCACAAGCTAGCTGGCAGTACAAGGCCTAGGATGGCCCTCATCCTCAAAGGATAAGGAAAAGGGGAAAAGGACATTTGGGCTGTGCATATAAAAGTGGACCATATTCTGGTCTGGAATGTTAACGTAGAATGAAAAAACTAGCATCTTCTCATCCAGTTGCTGAGGGCAACCACAGTCTTTTTTCCGTACTGAAGCTGTTCTATGAAGAAATAACATATATTAACTAATTAGTCCTTCTAATTTTTATGCATGTAACAGGATGGATAAGTCACAAAAATGTAATATAGAAAAAACAGGCCAAAAATAGCCCGTAAAGAGATTAAATCAATTTTATTAAGTTTAAATAGAGAAAAACTAAATTTAATACTTAACAATTCACACCTATGTTGTAAATCTACAAAAGAAAGCAAACAGTCCCTATAGACACCAAGATAGGAGGTATCTCTAGTTGGGAGGGAAGGACTAGGTCAGGAAGGGACACACGTGGAGCTTCTAGGATGCTGTCAATCTTTCATTTCTTGACCTGCATGTTGGTTACATGGGCATTTGTTATATAATCACTAATTAAACTAAACATTTATGCTTTATGCATTTGTCTATATATTTGTGACCACATTAGAAAGCTTAATAATTGATTGGCATATCAATTTAGAGTTTTTGTTTAATGATTTAAAAAGTTCACCACTCAAAAATGAAAAGAAGTGACATAAAATTCTAGTCAATAAGTGAAATCCGTTCAACATAATAATTAACTACATAGAGACATATATGTCTGCACTTACACAGAGCTATAGGTTTTAGAGATTAGAGGAAGAGCAAATACTTATGGGTGGTTAATTCCTCTATTCCCAAGTGTCTATTTGAATCCATTGATTTATTTTTTCCTCAATTTTATTGAGATATAATTGAAATAATACACTGTATAAATTTAAGGTGCGCAACATAATAATTGGTTATAAAACCACTAATTTAGTTGGTTGCTGAGGAGTGGGCTGGAAAAGACTTGAGCCTTTGTGGTAATGGTTGAGTTCAGACTTTTATAGACGTGGAGAATGTATTGACGAGTAACAGTGACAGAAAGAGGGAGAGAGAGAGAGAATCATTCTAAAATACCCAGTTTATCATTGCATTTTGGGCCTTGAGACCTGAGAATAAATCGGTCTGCCTACTATTGTATATATAGTATAGTATTGATATTCCAGTGACCATGTTTCATTCACCTATTGGCTTAGTCTAACATGCGTGTACACACACACGTATATATATATATAATTAAGTCATATGTCTTGTTTATTTATAGGAAACCCATTGGAAAAGGAGAGACAGGCAATCTTGATGTTAGTAAAGCTTGTAAGAAGCTAAAATTTTATTGATTTCCAATGTGAAGGATCCTGATTTGTGTAATTTAGAGCTGTAACTATTCAGGGTTTGTAGTTACGAATTCATCTATAAAAGTTTTATAGAAGAAAATGCTTCATCTGTATATTCCCAAAGCATAACTGATGTTACCCATTGACAGTCAGAAAAAGTGAGCCAAAGCAAGGAGGTGATTTTTTCCCCAAGGGCAAGCTAGTGTTTGTCACCACCAGGAATATTGCTAAACAAAATTTCCAATGAATCAGAGTTGACCATTCACATTTTCCTAGCAACCTTCTGTTCTACCATTACATGCATCCATTAGATACCCAGACTTCTTTGTTGGTCTCAGTTGCTCACAATCTCCTTCAAAATATTTCTCACATTTTACCTCAAAACTCTCATTTCTCAAACTTTAAATTTTTATGTTATTATATGATTAGAAAAACTCATTGTCAGGTGTAAGTGACCAATAATTAACTTTTTCATTGTCCCTGCCTCAGTTTCCTTTGTTTCTTACTGTTAGGCCTACCATTTGCCCTGCACTTATCCCACTTATTTCACCTCTTACCCTACTCATCTTAGGAAAAATTCAGACATGAGAAAAGGATTACAAGGTGTGTTAAGCTGACCTGCATCTAAATCTTGTAGGTAGCAATTTTTAAACTATGTTCCATAGAATATTAATATCCATCGATATATCAGTAGATATTCTCCAAAGTGAAAAAAGTGTTAAAAGTAAAATTAGTCAAATGCGCAGTGACGTATTAAAATGTATATAGGTAAATAAAAATTTCCAGAAGCACTTATTAAAATCACTTGAGACTCCGGAATTAGGCGGACTACAGCTTGAAAGTTATTGGAGAATTTTGATTTATCCTCCCACTTATGATAATCTTTTTTTTTAAAGATTGGAACCTGAGCTAACAACTGTTGCCAATCTTCTTTTTTTTTAGTTGCTTTTTCTCCCCAAATCCCCCCAGTACATAGTTGTACATTTTAGTTGCGGATCCTTCTACTTGTGGCATGTGGGATGCTGCCTCAACATGGCCTGATGAGCGGTGTCATGTCCGTGCCCAGGATCCGAACTGGCGAAACCCTGGGCTGCCGAAGGGGAGCGAGCGAACTTAACCACTCGGCCACGGGGCCAGGCCCCTATGATAATCTTTATGTTGCCCTACTCTTGGCCATTGGATCTAATCCGAATTCTGAATTCTTACAAAATCCAACCCACAACTGACCAAAGGAGGGTACATTACATTTGCCTGTGATTTTTTAAAATTGGAAGTGAGAAAGTCAGTCCTTTACAAGTGGTGATTACAGTTGCCTGAGGCTCAAGAGCAATTGGTGGCCATTGTTCCTCACTTTGTAGAAAAATCAGGTTTGCAACGGAATAACGTACACGGGGTGGACAGATGTAGAGTCCTGACAGCACGGAAGATCCTCGTTCCATGAGTTTCTGAGATGGCTGCATGTTTGCACTTTATCAAGTGGGTTATTAATCTCTCTTGGATTGTAAGAGCCAATAAATTTCTCACTTTCCATAGGATGGGTTTCTGCCGGGAGCCGCCCACCAGTCAGCTAAGCCTCTGCCCAAGGGCAAGGTCCGGAAGAGAGATGAGGGAACGCACGGCGGACCCTCAGAAGATGGCGGTCGGCCGCTCCTGATCCTACTTATGCTACTAATCTTAGCAATATTGCTCTTGCTGTTCTTTTTCTGTACATGGGATATCTTGGGGAAAATCTCTCCATGCAGGGGAAAGAAGCTGGTGTAACCTGGCCTTCTAGGGGGGGTTCAGGGGAACAACAGCCTGAAGGGAAAAAACCTTCGGACCCCCTCCTGGAAAGGCGGTAAGGGAGCTTGGACAGCCCTCAAGGAGGAAGCCTTCTAATAATCAGCCTCTAAGGAGAGCATTCCCTCCTCAGGTCCTTCTAGGAGGTAGATGTTATCCTAGGCCTGGTAGGACAGAAGGTAAATGGTGGCACCCACCCAGGGGCAGAGGCATACAAAAACTACCCCTTCCTAAGGCAACTCACGATCCTGATAAAGTTGCAGAAAAATATCATAGTATAGTAACACAGGGAAATTGGGATTATGGTGAGGTCTGGGAACCCTACAATACAGTTAATGGTAAAAGAGAAACCCCAAGCACTGTGCCCGTGTGGCTTGCGATCAGACGGAGCTGGGGGCCTGTATGTATTTTGGTCCCCTTACACTTTGCAATACTTCTGCTTTCATTATTATCGGAATAAAGATAGAGGCTTAGGGCCATTCGACTCATGGGGAACTAAGTCTAGACATTACACCCCGTTTTGTAATCAGTCTTAAACATCTAGACGCCTAGTAGATATACAGAAAAGGTCAATATCTGTAATTAACAAAGGTTGCTTGCTTCTCACATACTGTGCTAATGTTGTAACAAGATATGCTTATGTACCCATTTTGTTTGCCAAAATTATGTACTGAGACAATTCCATGAAATCATAAGCGCGTGACCTGGACCCTATATAAGTGCTTGAATGCTTTGAATAAATCAGACTTGGAAACCTCACTTCCAGTCTCACCGTAACTTCTTTTTTCTCCGAGGCCGTTCATCCCTCAGGAACCCTACCGGCTGGAGCTGGACTCCGGCAGGTTTCTGTCCCTTGTGGTAAAATTTCTTGACTAATTCATATAGCTAGCTAGCCTGAAAAGTGCAAGAATTTTGAACCATTCTCTTCTATTGTTCAAATCAAGAATCTGTATTCTCTTTGCGGAAAATAAAAATTATACTCCTGATTTTTCTTTCTTCTCCTCCCTTCTTTTTTAATGACCTAGATGACTTAGTGGCTAGTTCAGCCCTACACTGGGAGTTATTTAAAGGATGCATTTCCTCCTTTTCTGACAATTTTCATCTATCGATGCTACTCTTCACAGAACAATTCAAGTATCGGTTTTCAACTTAACAATGTGTGATGCTCATAGTTCACGAGAACAACTTATCACATGATACGAAATGACTTTTTCCCAAGTAAAGATCTTCGAATTAAGAGCTAGATCACTTGGGAGGCTGATTTCACTCAATAATAATCCATCTAAACCCTATCACATTTGGGGAGGGGGGGGGTGGAGGCTGTTTAAACTGGAAGGGGATTGTAATAGAAAGGAAGAGAAATTTATCTCTTCTTATCATGAGCCTATCTCACAGTGTTTATCTAGCAATAAGCATGACCACGCCCTCCCCCATGCCTTCCCAGAATCATGACACTGACTTTAAGAAGCTTTTAAAGTTCAGTGGTTCAGACTGGTTTGTCATCTTTCAAGTTATCCCAGGAATTCAAAGAGCCAATTTGGAAAGGAGTCCTTGGCTGTGATCCAAGTCATGGTCCTTCAAGAAGATAATTATCTTGTTAGGGGGACTGAGCATGTACTTTCTGAGTATTTCAGAGAGTGTGTATTTTCTCTACTTAAAGAAACTTTGACTTCTTCCCTTCTGTCTTCTTTAGTAGTTAAATCTATAACTTCTGTTAGATCTTGAAAATTCAACTCAGGTCAGGAATTACGTCTTTTGGGACCACTTGAGTTGCTTTTCATGCTCCTTCGTTCTGTCTGAGTTCAATGCCCGGCATCCAGCTTAGACTTCCATCATGGCACTTACCATTACTCTGTATATCTGTTCACTACATGGTGAGCCTCTTAAAGTTGGAGATAATATCTTTCATGTCTGTTATTCTAGTGTGAAATGTTGTTGGCTCTCAGTAAACGTTTGCTGGATAAAGTGGATAAAATGACCATAAGTCGTTTGAGAATTCATAGCACATAAGCATCTCTCCAACCTCGTGTTCATGTTTAGTAGGAAATCTCCTTTCTTCCTGGATATATCTAACATTACTAGAAAAGTTAGTGAAATATTATATACTACCAAATTTATATATGTATCTCAAAATACAAAAAGTACAAATTTATTATGTTGCTGAATTGCCTTGTGTTATAACTTTTTGTGCAAATAGAAAATAATTTTCGGGCCAGCCCGGTGGCACAGTGGTTAAGCGTGCACGTTCCACTTCAACGGCCCAGGGTCTGCGGGTTCGGATCCCGAGTGTCGTCACGGCACCTGTCAACTCTGGCAGGAGTCCCACATATAAAGTAGAGGAAGATGGGCACTGATGTTAGCTCAGGGCCAGTCTTCCTCAGCAAAAAGAGGAGAATTGGCAGCAGATGTTAGCTCAGGGCTGATATTCTTCAAAAACAAAAGAAAATAATTTTCTATTAATTATAAAAACTAACTCATATTCATGTTTTAAAAATATCACCATTAATCTGTAACCATTGTTACTATTTTGGCTTTATCCTTTTAGTTACTTACACTCCTCACGTGTAGAGATTATATATATATATATACACACACACACATATGTATATATATCTTAATAATGATTGTTACATGAAATATATATTGTTTAGATTGCCTGTTTGTGTTAGAGAAGATGCATTTATGAAATTTTGATGTGTTATTCTCTTTTTGGTCTGCATGCTGCCCTAGTAAATAAAGCTGCCCTAGTAAAAGGAAGACTTGAGATTTTCCTTAACTGCCCACAGGATGGCATCAGAGTTCTCTTCATAAACGCAAAGGTTAGTGCTTTTCTCTGACATTTATGTGCTAGACTCTTAAAGTAGAAAGTTTCAGATCTGAAGATTTGAGTGTTCAGAACATCTTTATTATGGTTGGTCCTCATATCTCCATTCTGATGCTAATTCTCACTGTAGTTACATGGGTGAATAATCTGCACAGCACTAAGAGGAAATATAAAACTTGGCCTGAGCAAGCTTGAATAAATGTGAGGGTTTAAAGCACGTACTAAATGTAAGGAGAGGGAAATATAGTTTTCTGATGGCAGGGGTAGCAGTAGCTGTCTTGATGATTGGATGTTTAACAGAGCATATAAATTCAGCTACAGATAGTTTCCAGGAGCAGTTGCATAATTCACATGAGGCAAGTTTGCATCAAAGTAAGTGAATAGCACCCACTACTTGTGTAAAGCCATACTTATTCTCAGAGGCAATATCTAGTGTCTTCAATATTCAAGGGCTATACAAATATAAGTATGAATGGCCACTTGTTTTCTCAAAACAATCAAAAGCGAACTTAATCCCAACTCCTGGGATGTACTTCAGCTGTAAGAAATAGGGGCAAAGAGATTATTTCCATATTTCAGTGGGAACAAAAATGTCTCAGTGTCTAGATCCCAGGCATCCTGTAGCTATAGTGCAGGTCAGATCCTGACCAGGCATCCAGGTAGCTACTTTTATTTTTCAGAAAGGCTATGTGATACTGAATGAAGCTTTAGGCTGGGAATCTGTGAGAGTAAGTCTCTCATTCTGGATACTTCTGCATATGTGATTTGAGGTAAGCATTTTAACTAATCTCTGTCTGAGTTTTTTTTCATTTTTAAACTTAATTGGGAGAAATATATGGTCTCTAAGACACCTTCAGGCTCTCATGTTTATGAGTATATTTCTATTTTCATTAACGTTTGCAAAACTCAATATTTTAATTAAAAACACATTCTCTTAGCTTATAAGTAAGTCTGCATGTAAGTCATTTGTCTAGGACTCAGAATGACCTTTTTCCATGGATATAATAACACATTTAGAAATTATTTTTCCTAGTTAAACAAAAAGCACTAATCAATTTTATGATGAGTAGAACTATGATTTAGAAGGTACTATAAAATCTATAATTTAATATTATCTATTTACATTTACAATAGCGATACAGAGAATAAAAGCAGGGGTTCAACAGTAGGAAATTGGAAAGAGTCTCCGATAAAGGGGATTTCAGCAAGAGGTGAAGTCTGGAGAAGGACTTCAACTGTGGAGGATAAAAATGAGATGAAGTTTGGAGAAATTCCATTGGCAAAGGTTCTAGATCATTAGCAACGTTTTGTGAGCAGAACCACTTCTTGAAGTTCTGGGCTTTTCAAGGAAGAAGGAGAAATTAGCAGATTTGCACAAACTGGGATGTCACCATTTGTATATATAGTTGAATTTCTAAATGACACTGCACAGAAGTGCTATACCACTACTTGACACATGTCATATATTCATACAATAAAATCTTATCCCACAGTAGGTAAGTAATAAAAATTTGCTAAATCATATTGACGCCAATTCCATTCAAACTGCATTGCACATATTCTATGTGTAGGATATTTTGCAAGACTTGGAATGCAAAGATGGTTTAGACCATCTATACTTTTAAGAAGCTCACTTAAAACATGTTAAAATATATGGTACAGTGATAATGGAAATAGTAACAATGAATAAGTTTAGTGTACATGAGAGTTTATCAATTTATTTAAGACATTGGAGAATCACAGGATCTGATTTTTAAGTAGGAAGTTGACCATATGGTGGGAGAAGGAAAGTTTAGGAAGAAGAGGCTTACAGAAACACAGAACTATGGGTGAGCATCTGGTGTATTAGGAACGATAAGCAATGCTTGAAGGTAATTTGCAAAGAGAGTGTGGTAAGAAAAGGAACTGGGAAGGTTGCTCTGATTAAGAAGGGTCTTGTATGTTAAGGAGCATGGACGTTTTGTGATTAATGAGGAACCATTGGAGGATATGAAACATGAAAGTTACGTTACTGGAATTCCCTTTAACAAGGATCTATCTGGAGTAGTGTGGCATGAGAGGGAAGAGTCGGTATGCTCTGGTAGTTATTTAGGAGAGAGTTTATGAGTACTTGGACTAAGATAGTAGTAATATTTGGAAAAGAAAGCGGAAATTCCAGAAATATTTAGTTATAGGATTTAGTAAAATGAATTCAAGAAGACGTCTTATTTTTGGAAAAAATTATACTTTTTGAGTGAGCTAGAATAGTTTGTGCATGCAGTTTACATACCACTTGGGGTGAATGAGGACTTCTCCAGTTAGCTGCTAAACCAACAAACAAGCTGTGCAAAGGAGACTTTTGGGCTCAAAGACACCAATGAGCGGATGCAACCCTGTTCTTCACAGAGGTCTGCCTAAAGTGTGGTAATCCTGACGTAAAGATTTAAAAATTTAAACAATATCAAATGGATTTAAGAATCCAACATTTAGAAGACCCCAGAACTGCTAGCTTGATGACTTTTGTGAGAATGACTGGAGGGAGAGAACAAATGAGTACTTAGTGCTATATCTCCTTAGCATGTAAGGACATTTCTGCTGCACTAGGGTGAAACACTTCTGTATTTGATTTCTCACTGAGTCATCAAGCCTGCCGCAGGCCTAATTTGCCTACCAAGTGGAGGAAAATACAATACCCTACAGGACACATTCTAGTAAGTTTAGTTAGAGGCATTTTTCCATTATTACACAGAGAAAATAAAGGTGAAGTTTCTGTATTCAATTTCTCTGTAATCTCACATGCTCCACATTGGAGCACATCTCCAGTAATAGTATGGTTATCAAATATTAACATTCCCTTCCTTTCTACGAAATATTTTATGGGAGCGTTACAGAACATCTGTGTGCCTCATATCACACAAAACTGAATCGGAATATTTAAAGTGTGCGTAAATTACGA